CTTCCAAGTTATTGTTCACGACTTTCTTTCTGTCTCTCAGCTCAGGGTTTGTGTCCTCCTGGTCAGTCCAGTTGTACTTCAAGCTCCTGCTCCTCTGGCTGTCATGGAAACACGTCATGTGACCTGCGCAACACTGGCAACAACTGCAGTGAGTGAGACAACTGACCTCTGACCTCTAGCCAAACAGAGCGCTGCAGAGTTTCCCATGATTGCTTTAGATTTAGTGTTAATGTTTGTGTGTCACAATGGTACTTTGACACCATTGCACGATTGTGTGTGTGTGTGTGTGTGTGTCAGGTGACTGTGAGCCCATCTCTCTGGAGATCTGCATGAATCTGCCCTATAACTCCACCCACTTTCCCAACTATCTGGGTCATCACTCTCAGAAGGAGACGTCTGTGAGCTGGGAGTCCTCGCTCTTTCCTGCACTCGTTCAGACAAACTGCTACAAATATCTCATGTTCTTTGCGTGTACGGTGCTTGTGCCCATGTGTGACCCTGTAACGCAGCAGAGAGTGCCGCCCTGCAGGTCAGCTTGTGTATGTGTGTGTATATGCACCTTTATAATTTTATATACAGTGGGGAAAATATTTATTTGATCCCCTGCTGATTTTGTAAGTTTGCCCACTTACAAAGAAACGAAGGGTCTGTAATTTTTATGGTAGGTTTATTTTAACGTATAGAGACAGAATGCCAACCACAAAATCCAGAAAAAACATATTATATAAAGGTTATTAGTTGATTTGCATTTCAGTGAGTGAAATAAGTATTTGATCCCCAAGTAAATCTTGACTTAGTACTTGGTGCAGAAACCCTTGTTGGCAAGCACAGAGGTCAGACGTTTCTTGTAGTTGGTCACCAGGTTTGCACACATCTCAGGAGGGATTTTGATCCACTCCTCTTTACATATCCTCTCTAAAAGGTTTCTTGGTTGTCGTTTGGCAACTGGAAGTTTCAGCTCCCTCCACAGATTTTCTATAGGATTGAGGTCTGGAGACGGGCTAGGCCTCTCCATGACCTTAATGTGCTACCAAGCTTCTTGCTGATGGTCTTGTATCCCAAGCATTCAAGCCTTGTGCAGATCTACAATCTTGTCTCTGACA